TACCCTGTACAAGTGGGAGTTGAGGGAGGCTGGAGAGGTGAGGATAGGACGCCTTTCTGTCACAGCCATGAGAGAGACGAAAGAAACAACCCCAGATGAAAAGAGTCAAATAAATTAAGCCACGTGAACTTCAAAGACAGTGCACTCCCAAATGAACAGTTCTGAACAACTTTGATTATCCCCCTGAAAATTCAACTTCCTCACACAGTGCTCTAATTTTGTGTTTGGCCTTACCCCTGTCAGTGTTTCACTCTGCATGGGTCTCAGTTGTTTGGCGCAAGAACGGAATTTCTGCTGAGGTGTCTGCAGTCTGACCCAGAAAATGCCAAAACAGGAGGGTGAAGAGGCAGGATCACCACAATCAGGCCCCAGGAGAATCTGGGCTAAGGATTCCACCATTGAACGTGGCTTCTCTCTAATAGCACTACTGCCCCCTCTCCCAGGAAGGCCCCCATCCTGCATGGGAGCACCAAACCCCAGAAGTTTCATCACCAATGTGATGGGCCAATTCTATGGGGTGTGCAGGTCAGGGGAGACAGGATTGGGACGTATTTCAGGTTGCTCAGCTCCCCAGTGGGACCTGTGTGGGGAAATCTCCTGAACATAATAGATTTGTCTATTATGATGCCTCTTAGGGTGAAGCCGAGTAGGAAATCACCTCAGAGATGACCCCAAATCCCCATCCATGATTAAACTGTGTCTTAAGGGCGCCCTCTAGTGACAAACTAAGGATAGGATTTAAAATAAGGTCAACCTTGGCACACCAGGCACAGATCCTGCTGAAATTCAGGGACTCGTAGTTTGGTGATATAAACCATTGAGTAAGTGAGGAAAAAATGCCAAGTTGCAAATGCTACTCCCTGCCAGGGAGAGCAAATGGACCAGGACACACAACACACGTTGACTGACATCAACTGCCAGTAACACAGGATTCTCACAGGCCCTGTGATGAGGTGTGTGTTGTTGCCACCAGGGTGGTATCTCTTCACGACAAAACCTACTCCTCTGAAGCCAATGCACAGGGACCTGGACACACTCCTGGGAAGGGATATCAGGAGGGTACATTATCTGACATCCACACCCCAAGGTCTGCACACAGGACACACTTGTGACACAGATGGAGGGAACCAAGCTCTGGAGAGTTTCACACAGAGCACAGTAGCGCAGAAAATGAAGGAAATGGCAGTGGGCTGAGATGAAGAGGGAACTGCCTGTAACCATAGTGTCTTGTCCTTGCCCTGTTCAACCTTGCTCTGTTCCTGTTTATCTTGCAGTTAAAACCAGAAAACCAGGCAGAACCAGCTGAAGCCGAGATGGAGACAGAAGACAAGGGGTAAGTCACAGCCTTATTATCGCAGCAAAAAGCAGCCCCACCAGCTCCTTGACACATCCAGCCAAGACCAAACTTGGAACAAGAGTGGGCATGAATGCGGTCCCTGGAAAGCTCAGCTTATTTCTCTGAAATCTGCAGCTTCAACCTTTCCTTGGTGTCCCCTCACATGTCTCTGCTTCTCCCCAGTCTGGGTAGATGCCTTTGGGACAGTGGAACCCGAGTCCTCAAGGTGGCTGGCTCCTGATTTTGTTCCACCAACTCTTAATTTTTAAGATTCATTTTATTTAGTTATGCATAGAAGAACTGGAATGCAGGCCAGAGGTGTGGGGGGTGAGAGGATTCACCAGAGACAGAGTGGGGAGCAAAACAGGCAAATGGACTGAAATGCGCCGTTGAGGGGAGCAGCGGGCAGGACAGGAGAGGTCTGCTGCTCCATGTGGGTCTGCTCCCTGGCCAGGAATTGAACTCGTGCTGCAGTATGAATAGCTTCATAGTGCTGAGGCTTAACCCCTGCACCATCGGGGAGGGCCATTGTTCCACCAACTCTTGTCTCCTGTTTTTGGTTTATGAGTGGTGAGTAAACATACCCCAAACTCCGGAAAGGAAGTTGAAGTTACCAGGCGCACAAGAAGTGCCCTGGGGAAATGGAGGTGGCCCAGTAGCAAGAGGGACGCTCTGGAGTACACCAGGCACAAACACAGTGTGTGTGTGTGGGGGGGGGGGGATGCAAAGGGCCATCTCTCTTCTGCACAGACTGTGTGTTTCCCAAAAAAATCCTAAGTGGAAGCCCTTTCTCCAGTGGCGTGGCATTTGGAGATGGCGACTCAAGTAGATAACTCGGTCCCAGGTGTGGAGACCCCGTGAGTAGGGTCAGGCCCTTATAAAGGCACTCCAATCTGCCTCTGCCCCGCTCTCCGCCCACTTTCCCAGCCTCTCTCCCCACCTCTCACTCTCTCTCCTCGTAAAAAGGCAACTTTCTTCAAGACAGGTAAAGCACTAGTAGCAGAACCCAGTCATGCTGACACCGTGCTCTTGGAGTCCCAGCCTCCTGAGCACTGAGAAATAATTTTTTGTTGTTTAAGCCACCAGTCTTTGTACTTTACCTGAGAGTCCACTGACCTCTGGCATCTAGAGAGCAAAATGGCTCAGCTCTGCTCCCAGTTCTTGCTGTGCAATCACTCAACAAAAATTTGTCAAAAACCCTGCACTGGCCCTGGCACTGAGCTATGGATTGGGTGCTGGGGCCTCCCTGGTGGTGCAAGGGGTTAAAGCGTGGCACTAAGAAGCCAGCTGCAGCCACTGCAGCGTAAGTTCAATCCCCAGCCAGGGAGTGACCACACGGCACAGCAGACCTCTCCTGTTTTGCCCACTGCTCCCCTCAACAGGGAATTCAGTCATCTGCCTGTTCTGTCCCCCACTCTGTCTCTGGTGAATCCTCTCACACAAACATCCCCTCCACACCTCTGGCCTGCCTCCCAGTTCTTGTATGCATACATAAATAAATCTCTTTTTAAAATTCTGCTTATCAGAAATCCTTCAGATTTATAACATGGCACATTTTGCATTTTAGGGAATACAGTATAGTTATAATTAAGTAATGAGTCTGACTAATTTGGTAAAATGCAGTTACTGATCTCAAACAAAAATGCCCCGTTGTTCTAACAATGAATGAGTTTATTTAGAAACAACAGCCTGAAAGGCAGATTGGGGGCGGGGGGGGTGCATTCACCACCAGAACCCACATACACTTCCCCAAGCCAAGATCAACAACCCCCTAAGTAACCCTGGAGGACCTTTCCTTTAGTTCCAGAGAGAAACAAACTTCTATGGGAGATGCAAGGCATGCTGGGTACTGTAGCTTGCAAACCTGTGCAAGCCTGGGCGTGCTCTGGAGGTCCAACCGCATTCAAGTAGGATTCGGAATATTAATGCTCACTGATTAAATTAGTTTGTAGTTAACCCCTTTCATCCATTCTCTTTTGAGCCTTGTGAGCAACTCTAATCTTCCTGTCCCTATTTTGCTTTTAAATACATCCCCCTTCCGGGGCTTTTCAAGGCAACTCATTGTTCCACTCAAATAAGTCTTTCATTTTTTAACAGAACTCTTATTATAGAGATCCATACGAAGACTTAGTGCTGCATTCCATTCTGTAAAGCATAACTGTAATCTGTGGGAGAGAGAGATTTTATTAATGCTACAGGGACAGGAATATCAACTTCGAAGTCTTGACTTTGTCACTTCCCAACACTCCTGTTTTTCTTGCTTTTTCTGATCAGAAAAACTAACCCATCACTGCTGTAAGATATGTCCTTTATCCTGAAAACATCCTTCTCTCCAGTTGGGTGTGCTAAATACCCAGGTCTTCCAAAGATCCAGTTAAAACAGCATTTAGAGACTTACATAGCATCTACTAGGGAGAGCCAAGGGCATGGTGAAAGAAACTTACACATTAAGTGAAACACACTGATCTCGGATGTTTTCAATATGTATGTAAACCTCCAAGAAGTGCAACATAGGAGAAAGTGAGAATCTGTTCGGGATTAGGACTTTCGTTAATCAAAGGCTCAGACACCATCACCATCTACAGAATGTGAATGCTTACAACAGCCTTGTTCAGAAAGTGTGAGAAACTGCTCAGAAGAAAAAATTTGGACTTCAGCATATTCTTAAGGGTTGGTGGAATGTATTCAGCATACTGATGAAATTATTAACACTTGGGGTGTTGATGACCCCAGGATGTATGTGCATCAGATACCAATGTTTTATTCAAAATTAGGTGCTCAATAAATATTTGTTGAAGGAGTGAGTGAATGTGTAAAAGGATGGTTAAATGAACGAGTGTTGCAAAGCTATTTGCATGTTCCCTCACCCATGGTGGGAAGAACCCAAGTACTGCTCCGTTAACCCAACCAATCCACTCTTCCCATCAGACTTAGTGGTGATTTCCAACCATCTGATCCTGTGAAATCCCTCTCCAGATAATAATGTGAACTACCCACCACATTGCTGTAGCACAGAAACAAAGAGGAGCCCAACACCCCTAGAGCCTCACTTTCATTTTTAACCTGATTTTTTAGCTTCCAGTGTAGGGCTCATTAAACAGGAAAAAAAAAAATGAGTGGTTAGTAATTTCAAAACACTTTGCATGTTAACTCATTCCAGAGGCAAACAACTTTAAAGGCAAAATCACAAGTGGGTACAGAGGGAACAGAACATCATTACCAAAGGAGGTCACGTAAAAATTAAAAAACACTAAAGAATAAATAGCCCATGCTGTCCAGAGGGATGAGCTATGCTACCCCAGTAAGAAATTAACCCAAATTATATACACTAATCAGCTTTGCATAACATCTCCAACGCATCTGCATACTGCAATTATCCAGATAGGTGCTGAAGTGGACCCAGGCTGAGTTAGGGTGCGCCAGGGGCAGGAGGCTGTTTCCCCCGCCGTTGTTTGTGTTCCCTGATGGCCACGAGACAAACAAGCACACCCCAAGTACACCATTAGACTTACACATTTGAAATACAAGTAATACAGCTCTGTTCGTGGCTGGCATTCAGGCAGACCCCCTTAAATAAGTAAGAAACGGTCTGATTCTGGACCAACACTCCATGTCTAGAACATGTAAGTGATGTTGTGTTTTAGGAAACTACATTGGGTTGATGCTATATAAAGAATTCCTCCTCTTGTTTTTCTTCGCTCTGGGCTGACAGGTGATGGGGGTATTGGGGGGTGATCTTCCTTGTACCCAGCTCCCTCTGGCCAGGAAGTGACAGATTACCGGCCCTTTCCTTAATGGTGCCGTTGTGTTGGGAGACATCGTCTCCTAGGGAGGAGGCTGGCACGTGAGATGGCGGCTGGCTGGCGCAAAGACCCCTGGGAAATCTTCTCAGAAAAGATTGTCCCGGTTCAGAACTGACCACTGTGAACCCCGTGTCCACATTTGTCTCCGCCTCCAGCCTCTCGAAGCTGTTCTCCCTGTGGAGGACCTTCGTTTTGACTCCACTTTCCAGGTGGTGAGAAGGCAGATGCATCTGGGTGAAGGCATGGGGTGCGCAGCCAGGACTTCTCCATGACGTGTTCTTAGAGCCGGCTGATGCTGGGTGCCCCCTGGGCTCAGGGAGCTCTACAGAACTAACCTTGAACCTCCTGCCCCGGCTTCTTCGGCTTCTGGGCTCGAGGGTCCTTGCTGCTGAGACAGGGTTCAGCCTGGAGCCGTGAGGTAGCACCTCAGCTCCTGAAGTTCCATTCATATAGGAAAGTTCACCATTCCTAACACCAAGTCCGGGACTCAGCTGGACCTGTGAGACAGTGAAAAGAGCAAGATGTTTCCATGTGCCGGAACAGACTGAGTCCCGTCCACCTTCTGCCATGCAATGACCATTGCATTCTTTCAGTAACGTCTGTGGGATTGAACAGAAGTAGCAGCTACTATCATGTGAAGTATTATACATTTAGTCGTGAGTATTATCAATATGAGACACTTAGTTGAACACACGATGAGCATTATACAGTCAGTATCATCTCTGAACACCCCTCCCCCTCTCCCTCCTTCCTAGATTAATTCTTTGACAGAGGTAAAACTCTGGAAATCAAATGGTCATTTGACAATATGAGTTCTAAATGATGAATTATCAATCTGGAAAAAAAAAACACTAAAAATCCACCAAACTCTTGACTATAAAGATTGGTATAATAATAATTCAGTCCCCCTGACCTAGTGGTCCTTTTAGAGCAAGGTAATAATATAATGCATCTTAGTCTATTGCAGGACATGTCGGCACTCCGGGCTGGCTACCAACTTTATACCTTTTAAATCAAGATTCTTTAAATGGAGGACACCAGTGAGTATTAAGGGAGACAGCTGATAAGGAAGCTGCGTGATTTTAACCCCTAGCAGTTCCAAAAGTAGAGACCACTTAGCAAACTCCCACCAGCTGTTATGTGGATTCTTCCTCCATCAAGTAGGATTCACTGGTTCATCTTCCATTTTTGGATGCTTGAGAGCAGACCCTCCTTCCTCCTTATACCATGCTCTCAGCAAGAGTATTTCTGAAAAGACAATTTCCTCCATCTTATCAGGCACCTTTGGAAATTATTATCCAGGGCCACTAGTCTTTAATCAAATAGCAGCAAGAATGGTCAGAAGACCCTTAAGTGCAGGTACTAAGTGAAAGAAGCAGATCTGAAAAGGCTTCTTGCTATATGGTTCCAATTATAGCGCTTTGTGGGAAAGGCAAAGCTAGAGAGCCAGAAAAAAAGTTAATGGTTGCCAAGGTGCTAGAAGGGAGAAAGGGAGAAACAGGTAAAGCTCAGAAAAATTCTGGGGCAACAGAACCCCTCTGTGCGATACCACAATGCTAGTCTTTGTCAACGCCAGTAGAAGGTGCAAGAGTCACCCCTGATGTGGACAGTGGGCTTTGGGTGATAGTGATGTTTCCATGTAGCTTTAATGACTGTAATTAACGTGCCCCTCTGGGCGGGGGTTTGATAGTGCAGGAGCTTGTGCAGGGGGTGAGAGCAGAGGAATATGGATCCACTGTAGCTTCTTACTTTCTGTTCTGTTTAGCTATAAACTTAACACTGTTCCCAAATGTTGATTAAAAAGAAGAAAAAAAGAATAGTAAGAAGGTAGAAATAAAAATAACAAAAAGCAGGTCTAGAAATGAGTAAGTCACCTCAAGCCTGCGCAATCCTGTTTTTATAAACACACACACATTTCCCCTCCCTGCTCCTCTGATAGAAATAGAAAAGAGACCATTGTCAAGCTACAAAGAGATAGAAAAATAATAAAGAACTTCCATGAATTCCTTGAGAACAGAAATTGACAAAGACAGCTGAGTCCTGCCAGGTCACGTGACCTTCATTGCAGACTCAACTCTGCCACAAAGAAGCCATCAGTAGCACACAGATGAATGGACAAGGCTGAGCTTCCATAAAATTCTATGGATGCTGAAATTTGAATACAAAAATGTTCATGGATCATGAAATTTTTTCCCAACCATTGGAAAATGGAGAAATACTCCTAGCTCTGGATTGGAGCTGACTGATAGCTGCTCTAGAAAAGTGATTTTCATTCAGTCAGTCAGTCACTCTCTTCCTCGCTCTCCCTTCCTCGATCCTCTCCCCTGAGTTCTCTCTCTTTCCCACTTCCTTTCCAGGTTTCTTTCTGTTTCATCTGAGTGCTAGTTTTACTAAAAAAAAATCTTCTCAAAAAAGTGATTACTCACTGTAAAAACAATTTAATTGTACAAAAGTATAGAACAAAAAGATCTCTCTCCTACCCAACCTCAGAACGCCCCAAAGAAAACTTCTGGTTTATTCAAAGTGAAAGAGGAGACAACGAGCGCCTCCCTTTCCCTCAAGAACCGACTCTCCCCAACCCGTCACAGGTCTGAACTGCCATCCTTACCACCTGGAAAATTATTTGACAGTATATTCTATCTTTTTATCTGATCTGATCTAACTAATGGATTTTTATCTGGTCTTTTTCTTCGAGAAGTGGATGTTGAAATGGCTATTTCCATATTAAGAAATCACTCAGGGTTAATAGTAGACTACCAGCGGGAGGAAGAAATCCATACATTTGATTCTGGGGTTCTCGTTTCATTTTTCTGCAATTGTGAACAAAACAGGGAGGCCTGAATAAGGTCCACCTCATCCTGTAAACCAGCCTCCACTCTGAACAAAATCGGTCCTGAAGCCAGGGTGTCAAGACAGCCCAGAGCAGCCAGGGGCATTATCCTAGTGGGCCCCCTAGCCCGTGGGCCCCACTGAGCCACCCCAGGTCACCAGTGCCATGCCCACCCACTGGGCTTTGTCCTCTTCACCATCTTCCATCTGGACAGACTCCTTTAAATCTAGCACTTTGAGCCACAGCTCCAGCACGCAAAGCTCTGTTTCATCAGCTCTTCCACTTAGGGCCCCTTCCCTGCTCTCTCCCTGTCAGCACCATATTCACAGATTCCACAGTCAGCTTCAGCCCAAACACCATCCTTTCAGCTATTTCCTTGCCAATATCTCCAGCTCCCCAGCCGACACCCTTTCCACCAGAGCCTCCCTCCAAAGTTCCTAACCCTGCTCCCTCCACCCACCCACATTTTCTGAACTTGTGCCCAGGCTGCTGAAGAACAGTCCAGGACCCCTCAGCTTGGCGTCACATGGAGTCGAGGTTTGCTCTGAGCCCAGGCTGCCTGACAGGGCTCCCTTAGTCCCCTCTCCCCACAACCTGCTGTCTGGCACCTTGAGGCTGTGCTTGCCCTCCAGGGCACGCGCTCTTGCCTTCACATTCTCAGCAAATGATCTCACCATCTGGACCCCAGAGACAACAAATGCCCTCCTTGGTCAGCAACTCTCTCCGTTTCTGCCAACAGAACTTGCCTGCAAGGCGACCATCCTCTCCTGTCTTCATCGGTGTGGGGATTCATCTCCTGTCTTCCTGTGATTTTCTCCCACTTTAGCATTTGTTTCTTCAAATTCTCTCCCCCGCCCCTGTTTTCTTGACCCACAGTGCTGACATTCACGCCTTCCTGCCACTCCCCTGAAGGTTGCTCTCGCCAAGACCAGTGCAGTCAACCTCCCTGCCGCAGGTTTCTCCTTGAGTCTGGTAGACTTCCCCAAGGCTGGCATTACTCCTCTCAGCATCTAAGTCAACACGTTCTTCTGGATTTCCTCCTTCCCGTCCTCGAACCCGCCTTGGTTTCCACTGAAGGAGCCCCTTCTCTGCAGCTCCTTAAAGGTCTCCGCTCTCCAGGGCTGACCTGCTGGTCAGTCCTCCCTATTTTGCGCATCTCCCGGCCATGCCATGTTTCCACTACACCGGTCGACACCCATCTTTCCACTACTATCTAAGCGGCAAAGAGGCCAGGCGTAACAAGCTCACATCTGTTTCTCCCACTTCATACCTACACATCAGCAGGTACCAGCTCTTCCAGCTCATCGTGACTAGAATGGAACCCACATCTGTCCTCACCACAGAGCTGGTTGAAGATGGCGCCCTCAGCCCTACATTATCCTCCCATCTCCACCCTCCATGTCACCCATCCCCGGGACTCTGCTCCTAAAATGTTCTCAGATCCTCCTGCCTGTCCATGTCCACTGTGGTGACTCGGGAAAGGCTTTTTTCATCTCTTGTCTGAATTATAGCAGCAGTCAGCTGACAGGCGCCCAGGGGATGCAGAGTGACCCTACTCCGATCGCGACTCCATTCTCAACTCCTCCATCATGCAACCTTTGAAGCCAGCATTGATCCCATCCTGCTTCTGCTTCGATGGTCTCGTTATTCTTCATAAAATCTAAGATTTCTTAAAGGAGGACTTTGTAGCTGGTGGCATCTTAGAAGTTGAATTGAACATTTCCACTGTGGGGCTGGCTGAAAGGGCTCATCTGGAGGTGAGGTCGAGTTGTAAAGGGGGTGGGGGAGCCCAGGAAAAGGAGAGGTTCCAGGGTCCCTGCCCCACCCAAAAGAGGGTGGAGCTGAGCAGGGAGGAGAAGAATCTGGAGAGGAAGATGGAAGCAGGATGGAGACAGGAAGGAGCCTGAAGGAGGAACATGTAACAGAGAGACATGTGAAAAAGCGGCTTTCATTTCTTGGCCCTGGGCTGGTTGAAGGAGATGTGAGTGAGAGACCCGTGGGGAGGTTAGCTACGGCAGCATTCATCTTGATTTTGATGTTGCTCTCTTCCTCCCAGACTTGTCTGGGCATTTCTGACCTTTTCTATGGGTCCCGGCCAGAAGGTGTTTTAGACTTGTGGCTTTGGACCATTCCCATTTGGGTGGGCATTGACCCATGAGGAGATGGCTAACTTTGGGTGTTTGATTTAGAAACTACATTCTTTGTCTCTTCTGTATTGCCACTCATTGTATTAAAGTTCCTTTCCATTAAGATCTTACAAGTTTTGTCTTGTTGCTACGGATGGCAGACCCTATTTAGAGTAGGCAGGTTTGGGGGTTCGGGGTGCCCCTCTCCCTGCCCTATAACAGAGAGGCCAACCAGACCAGAAATCACTATCTCCTCCACCAGGCTGCAGAACATTCGTTCTGAGAAGGACCAGATAATTCAGAAATTCACTGCTGTGTCTCAGAAGAGGGGGCTTCCCGGGGGCAGTGTGGGGCCTAATTCTGACCAGGAGAGTGTGCATCACCCACGGAGCATCTGCGTCACAAACTCCCAGGGAAGTTGGCCATGAGGAGGCCTGCCCACTGTGCCATGGGTCATCTTGGACACTGGGGCCAAAGGCTCAAGGCCGTCACGCCTGGAAGACCCTGAAGGTAGAGGCCCAGGAGCGTTGGTGGGTGCTCT